TCTGCTGCCTGTCTCGTCAATCATACGTTCATTCAAGCTACAAATATTTACCACACATTCTCTAAACAAAGAAGACAGTACTAGACATCATGTGGAAACACAAAGATGTATAGAACAGGATCTCCAAGGAGATCAAAGTCTCTGTGAAGTTTAGAATGTGCTAAGTGACCAAAGTCAAGGGCAAATAAAAGGCTACAGGAACTCAAAGAGAAAACCCTTTGGTTAGTAGTGGAGAAAGGGGTCCCCAAAAGACCTAGAGAAAGAGGCCAAATTTGAGCTGGGCTTTTAAAGGATGTGTGAGATTATATAGGCAGAAAAGGGAGTAAAAGATCAAACTGAAGCCTGGGTGCTATAATACAAAATGTGTTCATGAAGTAGGGGCTCATTTGATGAGTCGGCAGAAAGACAAAACAAAACCAAATCATGGGAGCCTTTCAAGTTCAGGCTAAGGATGTGAGGCTCATCTTCCATCAAGCCTGGTGTTTCAGACAGAATAAAGCAAAGAAAAGCAGAGTGAGGGGGACCAATTTGAGGGCTAAAACATGAGCTAGTACGCCGGCCCTAGTAACAGAGAAAATGTGCACTGAAGCAAAAAACCTGAACAAAAGAAACATCCTCCCAAGTTCCAGAGTTCACCTTGGGGATAAAGAGCATATTAAAGATACCTGAGATTACCTTGGAAGATGCCAAGGATAATGATGATAATTACATGACAAATTGAAGCTGATGGAAAGGAACATTTTTCCACTTTAGAATGTTTGAGACTTCAGTGTTGGCCAAAGCTCTAGGTGGAGGCCAGTGGAAATGTGAATAAAGGGCTGTAGGTGGTGAAATCAGAAGGTTATCAGCCTCGGATGTGCACCAGAATCTCCCGGGAACTTTCTGAAAACACAGATGTTCAGGCAACAACTCTGGCCAATGAAAGCAGAATACTGGGGAGGAGGGGTGGCTGGTGAGAAGACCCACAGAAGGAGGGAGCCCATTAAGGAGTCTCGCTTTCCATGTTCTGGTGGATACAATGTAGGAGGAAAGGAGCTGATAGATTTGACTCCGACTGACAAAAATGTAAAACAGATTTACCCTTGATCAAGAGTCCTCCACAGAGAGAAATGCTCTGCTGTTTTTCAAAGAGAGCCATCTTTGTCCCAGAGAGAGTCACAGAAGAGAAAAAATTAAAAGGGAAAGAAGGCTGAGTCTGGAATCTTAAAGTTGTGGCAAATCAGGATGGATTGGGACTTGTGCTGCCAAGGCCAGGCAGCCCAGCACCACAGCCTGCTGACATCCCACACACATTCTTTGTGCCTTCTAACCTAGAGTTTGTTTTCCATGTAGCTCCTCATCGAATCCTGTAGGTACCCCCTGAGCTACATGGAGCAAATATTATCATGTTCATTTTGTAGATGAGGAAACAGAGGCCTGAAGATGGAAACGCAGTCTTGCCCACATCTGCCAGCTGGGCAAATCCAGGGCACAGGACTCCAGTCAGGATTCTCCCCCCAGTTTCTGTTCTCTCCACAGAATGGGGAATATGTGTGGGGAACCTAATAAGACATGGGTGGGGATTCGGAGTAAAGATGTTTTACTTAAACGTCCCCTCAGTCAGCAAGCTGTTTCCTCCACCATACTTAGAGCTGGAACTCAGAGGATAAAGTAAAACTAGCTGGTTTCAACTTTCTATTAGATTTGTTCTGTTCATTCCTATATCCAACAGCAGAACACCAAACTAAAAAAAAAAAAAAAAAAAGTAATACAAATGGGAAGACAGAGGAGCAAACAATCTATGTCATCCAGAACTTGGACAACTCAATTGTAGCTATGTAGGAAAGCTGATGGAATGGCTGCCTAAAGTAATACAAAGGTGTCTCTCTGTTGCTTAGTAGTTCTACAAATCTCTGGGGCTGACCAAGAATTGGTCATTTTACTCTGAAGACTTCGCTGAACACTCTCTTCAAGAAAAACACAATGAAGCGTCTACTTTTGTAAACAGTAGGTCTTTTATATCAATTAACAGGACAAGCATCAGTCAATACATACTTTCACAACCAGAATCATATGGTTAGCACCATTCTCTCAGAGATCATGGGTTTCGAAGAACAGAAATTCACTCAAGCAAAAAACAAATGTGTTAAACCGGGTGTGGTGGCATACCCCTGTAATCCCAGCATATGGGAGGCTGAGGCAGGAGGATCACTGTGAGTTAGAGACCAGCCTGGGCTACATAGTAAGTTCCAGGTCAGTCTCAACTACATAGCGAGACCCTGCCTCAAAAAACCAAAAAAATAAAAAATGTGTCATAGGATACACAGAAATCTCCATGCTAAAATTGACCCCACAGTGTCTCTCCAGAACAATGCATTCTTTCTCCGTCTTTGTAGCTCCTCTCCATTTCTACTTAAGCTGGAATCCCATGCATTATAGACACAAGCCTAGGTCAGTGGACTTTTCAGGGCTGCTTTGCTCCATGTCTCCTATTTCTTAGTATCAAAAGAGAAAAGGGTAGCCAGTAAATGGGCTCGCCTCTGGCCAGGTATCCACCCCTGGTCCAATCAGGGAAGGGCAGTGAGCCTGGAATAATCATAGCCTTCCTGAACTCTGCCCCTGATTGAAACTAGGCTTTTGGTGAGGGGAAGCAGTTTCTAGATAAAAGGCTGTAATCAGGATAAGCATCCCCCAAAATACATATTATGAACATTACATAATTCTGAAAAGGCATTTTAGTGAAGTTACCTAAAATAAAGTCCACGTTTGTGAGTCCCTGTGTCTCCATGAATCTGTACCCCAAATCGGCATGTATCTTATACTGAGTCTCTCAGAACATATCAGGAGATGAACTGCTTTTTAAAGCTGCTAATGTGTTTCAAGCGATTTCTATCTTGAGCATTGATTGCTTTAACCTTCTGCTATTTTTTCTTTGAAATAAATCTATTTATGCTCACCATATTAATTGATAAAAAATGACCTATAATTTAGAGATTTGCTTTCCTGTTGAAGAGAAACTCTGTTTTCCCTAACATAACAATGAGAGAAGAACCCCTAAGTTTTGTTTCACAAATTGGAATGCCATACCTACCACTTGCCAGGTACTATGCTAAGCTCACTTCATCCTCACAGCCCCCACCCAGGAAGACAATGTGATCACCACTGGACAATCAGTAATGTGAACATATCCTCACCTCTCGGGACCTCAGCATTGCTAACTGCATAGTGGGACTATGATGCCTGAACAGCTATTCACAATATGCCTGTGAGTGTGGTATGAAACAGAAGACCTCTGAAAATAAGCCAAGTTCCACAAGCAGTTACGAATACACATAGGCTGTGATGTGAGGAAAGGGGCAGTGAAGTTGCAGTTGGTGTTCGGGGGTCAGGCTTCAATTGTCTACTAGCTCTGTGACATTGAGTGAGACCCTATCCAGGCTCAGTTGTCTCACCTGCAAAATGGGCAAACTACATAAATCATAAGGCTGCTTGACAACTCAAGGGAATCACGTTCAAGACTATTTATAATGAAATGTGGAGAGAGTGTGTAAAACCTTAATAATATTAATTCTTTAAAAATTCAAGTTAGCTACCAAAAAAGAATTCCAACAGCCTCACAAGCACAAGGACCCACGTTCAATCCCTGGAACTAAAAAAAAAAATTCAAGTTAGAAAGAATATGAGGTAGAATTTTGACAGAATCTTGAAATATGAATGTAACATTACTTCTTCAAAACCTCAAGTGAGGAAAAAAGTTTATATATATAAAAAATGTTTTTAAAATGTTTATAT